CTCAGGCACGTCCATCGATTCGCCCTCGTCCTCGCTGTCCGGCTTCATCGTCACCGTCAGGGCCCCGCCCGCCTTTCCCGCCTTCCCGTTTTCAGCCATCCCGCAGCGGCCGACGCAAAGGCCCCCAACCCCAACCCAACGCCAGGCAGCCTCGCCGCAAAGCTCCAGTCACCGCCACCACAGAAATCGTTCCCGTTCTCAGCCCATTAAATAATGCAGCTTATAAGTTGCTCAGCGACAATTTGGCCAAGCGCGACATCCCGGCCAAAATCCAGAATATCGTAATCGCTATGTCCTGGATACGGTTCAAGTGTTGATGCTCTCAGGCCACAAGGTTACAACTCGTAAGCAGCAACAAACGGATGCTCATTTGTTGCTGGGCCCATTAACGGTTCCAGCTGGCAACAGCCGACGCTCACTCGTTGGCGACAGTACTGGGTTCCCAAGGGCACGGCCGAGTCCCGCTCCACCTCCACCCCAGCACTGCACTAACGTACCAGCCCAAAAAATCAAAGGGGAGACACACGGGCGAAAGTACTGTCCCGTCCACATTCCGCCGCAGTACTGCGCTAATATACCAGCCCCAAAACAGCGGGGCAAAGCACGGGACGCACGTGCTGGGTCTTTGCCCTCGCCCCCGCACCCTGGCAAACCTTTTTGGCCGTGACTCGGCACCCCCGACGGGCACTTTGGCCCCCCCGGGGCGCAGATCCGCCAGCGCAGATTCATGGCGCCTGTGGCCCCTTGCCGATGCCTCCCCACCGTACGCGCCCGACAGTCTCAGGCGGCGCGCCGTGCCACCCTGGCGGCACGTGCCACCCCTGGCCTGGCATCCCTTATCCAAGGCCGCAACACCCACTCCCCGTATCCGCCTGTCCCCGCCTTCTTGGTGAGCCCAACCCGAGGCGCACGCCGGTGGCGCCCGCCCGCCGCCCGTGCGACCCTCAGGCCCACCCTCCCCCACCCCCCTTTCCCCATTTTCCCAACCCCCCTTGTCGATTTGTGAATGATGGAGAGCACGGGACGCCTGTCGCGCCCCGAGGGGTGCCCGGCGTTCCCCAGCCTGCAGATTAGCGCGCGCCAGCGACCGACGTCGGTGGCTCGAGCCTGGAGGGCGGGAGCCAGGCTGCATGGCGGCCGTGCTGCGAGCCTTGGCCCCGCACCTGGCGGCTTGGGGAGCTGGGGTGGGAAAATTGGCGCCGGGCGATTGGCCCTGCCGGTGCTGGCAGCACTGCCCATGTCCACGGCTTCAGCGGTGGCGACCGCGCCTGCCGCGGAGATAACCCTGGCGCCACTGGTGCCGGAGCAGCTGCCCGTCCCGGAGGAGTTGGAGCCTCCGGCCGAGGAGGAGGATGCGACCCCCTCTAGGAACGTTTTCGCGGAGTTTTGGGCCAATTACAACGCGCTGCTGGCCGAGAAGCCCATCATGGTGAAGAGCGCCACGTCGTTCTTCGGGTTCATGATTGGGGACATCTGCGCGCAGACGATCATGGGCGGCGCCTATGACCCCTTCCGGACGGCGAGGCTCACGGCGTTCGGCGTGCTGATGGACGGGCCGGTTGGTGAGTGTGAAGTGTGAACTGTGCCGTCGACTTTGCTGCCCCGATGCGTGGCTGTGGGATGAATAATAGCGGCGGCGCCGTTGTTTTTTTTGTTTTCGTCGGACCGAGCTGCGGATTCGCTGGAGGAGGTGTTGGCGTAATGGCTCACTCCTGCTTCGCGTCGCAGGGCACTGCTGGTACTCGACTCTGGACAAGCACGTCATGCCGGAAGACCCCAAATGCACCAAGGCAATCGTCATGAAGACGGCCTTGGACCAGCTCGTCTGGGCGCCCTTCTTCAGCTGTGTGTTCTTCACTTTCATCAGGACCCTGGAGGTGGGGTGTGTCTCTTATCTCCGAGTTGTTCGTAGCTGGCCCCTTGCCCATGGCTCTGCTCTCTTGCAGAACATCGCGTTCAGGACCCTCTTGCAACATCGAGCTTTGTTGCAATAAAGATTGAGCTGCTGCGTCCCAGATGATCGCAGATATGCACATTGCACAATCTTTTTGTTATGCTTCTTTGGCAAAGATGGGATTGTCTGCAGATGTGCTATTCAAGCCACAAAAGGGAGTACGGTCATGCGCAGGGTTGTCCAACTGTCAAGTGTGTGTGTGTGCACGCAGGGCCATCCAGAGGCTGCGCTCTCCACCATTCAGAGCGAGCTTGTGCCGACCATTGTGGCGAACTATGCCCTCTGGCCCCTTGCTCATCTCATCAACTTCCGATTTGTCCCATCCGAGCAACGCATACTGTACATCAACTTTGTACAGGTAAGAGCCAGACAGCCGATTGGGTATACATGTGCTGGGCCCTGAAAGACAAGGCAGGTCGTGGGTGCATTGAACGGGGCCGTTGGAAGGTCGAAGTTCTATTGGCCACTGAAATGCAGTGCCTGTGGGAAACTCTTTTGTTTCTTTTGCATCGAGAGTAACACCTGCACTGAGGGTATTCTGTTTGATGCTAGTTTCATTTGCCTCTTGTTGATGGTGCCCACGACAGTCGTTGATGTCGATTGCCTGTGTTTGTTGTGCAGATCTTGTGGACGTCTTATCTGTCAAACCTGGCCAACAATGGCCACACGAGTATGTTCCACCACTAGCCCCACATGCTCCCTGAGGATCCGGCTCATTTATTGTTGTACTATATCCTTTGCCGTTTCCCTGATTGCGGGTGTAATGGGCAGACTAGTGGTCCGTTGTGCATAGCAGCTCCCCAGATTTTGACAGGAGTCAAAGGATCAAATGGAAGGAGAGGGATTGGGACATGGGGCAAAGAACTGAGAGGTTAACTGATGTTTGGTTGGGTCGGGGATTCAAGATTGAATGCGATGGGCTTGCTGTGAGGGCGTGATTGAAGTTTCGCAGGTGCTCGAAAGATTGCTCCGGTATTCGTGGGCGAAGCAGCGGGAATTGGTTGCAATTGATATGTAGCATAGCCAGATTTGTTATTGATGAATGGTGCGAATGGCTTGGATGGCATGAGGGCTTGGATTTGATGCGGGGTTTGGAGAAGACAAATTTCTTCTGGCCCTTTCGTCCCTTATTGACGCAGGGCACAAACGCTTCGGCTGGCGTCAGATGAGACCCTTGACGATTTAAAAATTGAACATTCTTGGGAGTGTCGACACTTGCATGAACAACACAGGCGGGCAATGTCCACCTGTGTGGATCGCTTTGCAGCTCCAGTCCACCAGTGGGATAGCTCTGAAAATAGGAAAGTCGGCTCCAAGGATTGGGATGCGTGCGTGTTGTTGCCTCAACTGATGGCCAGCGAGGCTGCCAACGTGAAGAACCAACGTGGTCAGTTTTAACAGAAATGTGTCGGGCGCAACGGTAAATCACTGCGACTTGGCCCCTCCTCAGAGATCCAGCTACCTCGCCTGACCGCATGACCTCCCACTGTCCTGTAATCAAAGATCCAGCAGCAATTTACTTCCAGGTGCAGTTCAAACAAGCAAACACACACCATCCGCCTGTGAGCCCAAGGCATGGTTTCGTAGATGGGGCGCACAGAATCAAAGCTGCATGTCAGCAGCACACACCCCTGCTCTCTGCTGTTACGAGTGTGTGCAGTTATTCCTCCAAGGATATCTGCGTTGCCACCAATCACTGCATAACCTGCACACTCCCTTGCGCCCGTCCCCAGCGAGCTGGCCTATCCATCCCTGGCAACCTTGCCACTAGATTGTGGCGCCCTCGTGCTGCAGCGACGGCCTTGCCCCTGGCGTCGCAGGAACCTGGGCCTCTACAAATCTACCCCAGAGTCATTCGCAATCTGCCTCAGTACATGGCTCCATACACCCAGGAGAGGTATGTGCGATACTGCTTGTATTGCTGGGCATCCAGGTTGAGCCACCGGTGCACCAGGGCCCGCTCCTCAGCCTCCAAGTGCCGCAGCAGCTCCTCTTCATACGCCTTCAGCAGCAGCAAGACCTCCCCCATGTCCGCGCCATCCTTCTCGAGCGCAGCGTTGATGCCCTGCGCCTGACGCAAGTCCGTGTGTTGCTTTTGGAGGTCGTCCATCTCCGCCTTGCAGCTTGGGTGGTGATCATAGAAGTACTTAAAAAGCTGTGTGTCTTCGAACTGGCTGTGGCTCTCAATCTTCCCACTGAATTTGGCGAACTTGGCCCTGAGGTTGGACTTGGGGGCGTTGCCGTCTTTGGACAACGCCTCCGCCATCTCTACCAGGTCATGAGCCTGGGTCCTGAATCTGCCAACCAACCAGACAACGGGCGCGCTCAAAGAAATCCAATCCTGCATTGCAAATCCCCTCGTAGCGGTGCGGTATTTGGGACGCACCCCAAAGCCCCCCGGTAAAGATGGACCCCTCAAAATGGATCGTGGCAATTGTCACGCCATGGGGAACCAGTGGCCAGTTGCGGACTCCCCGGAGTGCATCCCCTCTCGTTCTTGCCGCTCCGCAACGCGAGCATTTCCTGTTGCGCTTTGGACAACCCCGTATCACCCTCCACAGCAAGGGAGACAGGCACCCCAAACTCCCTGCCAAACAACGGGGCGCCCACTGCACCGCTCGTCTTGCAGTCCCTCCAAAACGCGGTGATCACCTGCTGTGCACCCACAGCCAGTTCTTGACGCGGGATTTGTTCGGGTGCAGGTCATGATGCCGTCGCCAGAAATCGGGAGAGGCGACGATCCCCAGCGCCGTTTCGAGGGACTCTCGTGGCGCGTCGGCGGCCGCGTCGACGCCCAGTTCCCCGAGGCGCCCGCGCAGGTCACCGTCGGACAGCGACTGGACGTCCTGCGACTTGGCGCGGTCCGGGGGCGGCTGGCCGGCCAGGGCCAGAATGGCGCCGAGCGGCACCCTTTTGGACGCGCCGCCCTTGCGCTTGAGCGCGGGGAACATGGCTCCGGGGCGAGTAGCGCAGGGGGGACAGTGCTGCGGACTGCCGCTGGGGGACTGTGGGGCCCAAGCGCGCCCTATGCCATTGCGTGTTGCCTGGCGCAGCGCACTACCCTAGCGTGATGTGCGATTAGGGTAGGACTGGATGCCTGGCAAAGGAGCCCCACCACGCCGCCGGTTTGTTTGCCAAATTCTTTTATCATGGGCTGGTCTGTGGGGCATTCCGTGCAGCGGGTTGTGCCATCCTGAAGGGAGATATTGTAATCGACATTCCCGTTCAGGAAATCAGGCCGTGGCGGACCACGGATTTCATTGGTGCGATTTCAACAAACGAATCAGGGACACCGCCCTTCTCGGGAAAGACATGGAGACGGCGGCGACTTCCCCTACTTGCGGTCTGCAGCGTTTTGTGGAGAAACAAGACGAAATGAAGAGAATGAAATGGAGATGGCGGACTTTCCAAGACCTGTTGCCTAAAAATACACTGGGAATTAGAACACGCTCCAACCCGCAAAACTGTCTTCCTATCCCTCCCTTCGCTTTCTCCCCCAGTACCCAGCTTCGTGCAGGGCCGTCGCCGCGCCCACCCCCGCCATGGCCAAAGGCCCCGCGAGCGCGGCTACCAAGCCCTCGGCCAAAGACGCGGATCCGCAGCCCAGCGGCGCGGAGGATGCGGGCAAGGAGGCGCCCACCACGCTCGATCGCCTGCGGGGCGTGGTGGCCATGATCGCCGACGGCGTCAAGCAGAAGGACACACGCCTCGTGATGGGCCGCGTGCTCAGGGAGACGGCCAGCAGGAGATCGGAGCTGACGGTCGAGATCCTGACATCTTTTGTTGAGGAGACGCTGCCGGCTGGAACGGACGCCAGGGCGGTGATGCTGGACAAGCTGGCGCAGGTGGGTGGGTGGGTTTGCCGGGGGGGGGCTGGGCGGCATTGGCGGCCGGACGGCAGTTGGGGTTACCGAGGGGTGCCCCTTTTGGCTGCTGGATCGGTTTGTGGCTCGAGTCTGAATGCGGCATGGTAGGGATCTTGTGGCGCAGCGGGGTTGCCGTGGCGTTCGAATGGGCCCAGAACTTTCCATGCGCGAATTTGCCCCAGGGAATGTCAGGGGAACTTGCCCTGGGCGGTTTTGGGGCCAAGGGATCCTCGCTTGCCTGCTGCCGGCTGGTAAGCCGGAGTTTCTGAAAGCCTGCTCCCTGGCTTGCGTGCGATCCATGCGGGTTGTAAGTGTGCGCCAGAACATTGATTTTCAAATGGGATCCAACGGCATGTGCGCCCCAGGTCCAAGAATCGATGCAAGTTGATTCCGAGGAGCAAGGAGGCGCGGCAAGTGCCACCCATGCCACTGGCGTTTTGCCTGAGGTTGAGATGTACTGCTACCTGGTGGTGCTGATGTTCCTGGTCAGTGGTGGACATTTCAGGCTGGTGAGTCGCTCAGAGCAGCAGGCCAGGAACAGCAAGTGCTCTGTGCATCAGGCAAAATTTCTGTGGCAGATCGTTGTGCGCGTATGCACTCCCTTTGAAGGCCATTGAGCTGTTGCAGCTGTCTACTCAACACGTTCTGGCCCTTTGGAGCAGACAGGCTGTTGCAAAGGGACAGGCTTCTAAACAACACAAACAGCGTTTGTCCAGAGAACCAGACAAGGGTCAGGTTGACAGAAGATGATGAATGGGTTCCTCTTGTCAAGCCGATGAAGGGGTGCACACAGTGAAGGGTGCTGCATCCATGTTACCAGGAACAGCTGTTGCAGGATTCAACTGCATTTGCATTCATAGATTCGACATTACCTCTCTTAGTGTGTGGTTTTGGTTTCAACAGGCCAAACAGCTTGCAGATGTTGCAGTGGCAGCTCTTGGCCTGTACAATCGGCGGACGCTCGACTTCATAGCTGCAAAGGTGTACTTCTACTATTCCTGGAGTTATGAATGCTTGGATCGGCTGGCATCGATCAGAAGGTACGAGCACGCAATGTGCCTGCTTGTGGTGCTGCACTTTGAACAGCTTTGGTGGCGCGTACTGCATTGTGCTCTTGTGCAGATTGGCACAGTGTCATAGCAAGCGACCAAAAACTGCATGAACGTGCAAATATGCCCGTTGCAACTGTCATTGTGTGCGATTCGTTTGGATATTTATATCCCCAACAGCGCTTGCGAGGTACAAGTGCTTTTGCCTGTCTTGTCATTTTACCAATATTATTCACAGATTACAATACCCTGGATCCTGTGAGGGGTGGTTGATGGTTTGTAACAAGAAAAGCGCTGTTTCGTGGATTAAGTTTCCCCAGTCGTTGTTTCAGGCAAAATTCCTTTTCATGCTATGAAAGGGGGTGGATTCCTGTGACCACTAAATGTGCCAGGTGCCCTTGATACACAGCACACTCCTGCAGAGGCTGCAGACTGCTGTCCTCCAGCATGACGAGATCGGCCAAGAAACTATCCTGAACCTCCTCCTTCGCAACTACCTCCACTACAGCCTTTACGATCAGGCTGAAAAGCTCCGGTCGAAAAGCCCAGAGCCCACACGGTCAAACAATCAGATCTGCCGTTACTTGTACTACTGGGGCCGGATAAGGGCAGTGCAGCTGGAGTACACAGATGCACGGGACAGCCTGCAGCAGGCAATGAGGAAGGTGCGTCAACCCTGACTATTGCTTAGTTGGATGATACTCTGGCCCACCTGAACTGATCTGCATTTATTGTGCAACTGTGCGATCGTGGGCTCTGATCCCAAGCACTTGGACATGTGGTGATGTACAAGACAAGTTTTCTGCCGAGTTTTGTGCACTTTGTGTTTGAGAATGTGAGTTTGTCCAGGGTGGGAGTGCTTCGGTCACAAAAAGAAGTGCAACATGAATATTTCCAATTTTGTATGACATTTGTGGCTGGGCATTCTGGTGAGAAAATCTCAAGGGGCAGAGTGTCAAATTTAGCCAGCTAGTATGCAGTTTGTAACCTTTGCGCTTGCAGCACAACTTCCAACATTTCGTATGCCCATAAAACCCACATGGTTGCGATGCAAGTGAATCATTCCCTTGCTGCACTGTATTCATGAACTGTGTATTGTTGCAACTGTATGGATATGTTTGTGCATTCATGCGCTGTATTGGTGAACTGGTTGCTTTCTGGCTGTGGTTGAGCACAAACTCCTCCTGTGTTTAATGCTGTCTCACAGTTCTGGCTGGGAAAACAGGAAAACGGGCAGTAATGCAGCTTTGGTGTGTCCAGGCTCCCATTGTGGCACATGGCTTCCGAATAACTGTGAGCAAGTGGCTGGTCCTTGTGAGCCTGCTCTTGGGCGAGATACCAGAAATGCTTGAGTTCACCCAGCAGGGAATGAAGAAGGCATTGCACCCGTACTTTCAGCTGGCTGGGAGTGTACGGAGTGGCGATCTCTCAATGTTCCGGTGAGCTGCAGGATGTGCAGTTTTCGATAGCTACAGGGTTGTTGGTTGTTCTTGTGTGATGGACATGCAGAGCTTCACCGCCAAAATTTCATTGGCTCTGCCCCGTGCTTGCAAATCTCCAATGTGCGCACAGTCTGGAGTCTCTTCATTTATGCATGGGGACAAAATTGTCCATCTGGAACCAAACAAAGTGCCAGTATGATATGGCAGACCCCGATGCGATGCAACAAGAGCGGGTACCAGTATGGGGAAGGGGCCATTTCCAGCCAAGTTGGTGCAGCCATGTACTTGAGAGTGAAGTGCAATACTCCTCTTCTAGCTGCAATTCCAATGATGCGAATCATACTGCAGAGTTGCTGCTACTGTTGGTTGGTGGATTGAGTTCTGCTTTGGTGGGCGTTTGCTCAGGTCTGTGGCACAACAGTATGGTGAACAGTTTCAGTTGGACAAGACGCACAACCTCATTGTCAGGTTGCACCATAATGTGCTGCGCATTGGATTGAGAAGAATCAACCTGGCCTATTCGAGGATATCGCTGAAGGTGCGTTGTCGATGGCCCATCCATCCTGTGCATTGGCATTGATTCGGTGCATTGGCGGATTGCATCTCATGCTGACATCCCAGCATGGTCCTTTGTGGGTGGTGTCTATGTGCAATTTGCTATTCCCCCCACAGTACACCTCTATTGTGTGGCTGTTGTCTTCTTGCCACAGTCATTTGGTGTGCTTGTGATCCAGGATGTTGCTGAGAAGCTTGGTTTAAGCACCGATGAAGACCTTGAGAGGATCGTTGCAAAAGCCATAAGGTGACTTGGGATCGCTTATTCTGGTTCCTTTCCTCCCTTCATGGCCAATGGGTGGTCTGCAGCAGGGGTGGCCCCCTGGTGCTGTGAATTATTTCATTCAAGGAGCAAGCCAACGTGACATCATCCGGGATCAAATTGTGCATAATGAATGAATATGATGTGTGTATCTTGTCTTAACCAGTGGTTTCAGCCATTTTTGTCGCTGGCTTCTTGCCGAGTGTTGTCATTGTTCTGTGCTTGTCCCAAAGCATTGTAAGGTGGTTCCCATTTTCCTTTGTGGTGCGCAAACGGTCTTTGTTGAAAGCTTTTAGCAGTTTTTGCCCTTCTGTGCCCCTTTCTGCTGCCAACAATAATCACTGGCGTTGCTAATGCACAGGGATGGCGGAGTGGATGCCATTATCGATCACGAGAGCCAGTGTCTGAAGTCTGTGGAGGTTGCGGATGTCTATTCAACATCAGAGCCCCAGAAGGCGTTCCACGCTCGCGTGGCTTTCTGCCTCGATGTGCACAATGAGGTATGTAGCGACTGGCGATGCTGGAGGAGCTGTGTATGTGCTTGCGAGTATGAGGTTGAGAACTTATCAGTTTTTTTCTCCTGCCATGGCATGCAGTGGCCTTGCTGGAAAGCACTGCTGAAGTCAGGGCTGATGAATTTCTCAAACAATGTCATAGGCAGTCAAGGCCATGCGCTTTGAGCCGGATGCACACAAGAAGCTCGTGGAGGATGCGGAAGCGCGCAAGGAGCGCCTTGCTCAAGAGCAGGAACTGGCCAAGGCAATGCAGGAGGAAGAAGACGACGACGCTTTTTGAGCTGCATTGGCTAGCCCCAAACTGGACAATGTCAGCATCAATTAGAAGTTGCATGTTGACATCAAAATGTATGATGTTTTTGTCAGATTCTTAGCTGCTGCTGTCTGAGACAGCTGAAATGCCAGGCACCACAATCAGGGGCATGGAGAGCTATTTCATTGTACTATTTGGTTCAAATTTGTCTTGGGGCTTGAGAGTGTTCGACTATAGTGTGGAAGTGCCTTACACTATACATTGTAGCTTTTTGCAGTAGTTGATCTCACAACAACACGCCAGTGCAGGGGCAGGTGGCTGGAAAGTGCCACATCGCACCTGGCAGCGATGGCAGGCGTCTGACTTTGCCCAGCCTGCCGCACCGGTGCCTGCGCCCACAGTCCATCAGCTTGTGGCTAATCAACTGGTGTGTTGGCCCGAGCGGCAGCACTCATCGCAGTCTGTGACAGATGCACGTGGCACCTGCCTGGCAGCATCATGGCTGATTCATCATGTCGGCAACAATGCCCTCGATGGTGATGTGCTCCAGCACGGCTGTCCACAGATCGGCGAGCCCCGCGTAGTCAACCAGCCCCTCATGGTTCTCGTCTGTTGCGGCCAGAAGAGCTTGGAAATGGTTCTGCTGCAGTTTGAAGTCATCACCCCCAGCGCTGGCAAGCCTATCCAGGGCACCTTGGATTTGCTCCATGCTCAGCTGTCCCGTGCCTGCTGGGTCCGCCTCTTCAAGAGTGCGTTTGAAGACCATCTAACACCCATGTGGCCGTGTCAATCATAGCATGCTTCGTTTTGGGCCCACCATTTGAGTTGCACTGGAATTGTGCTGTGCTGACATTGTCACATTGTTGCGTTCGCTTGAGAGCTGGCATGGTGCGAATCTATCTGTGGCCCCCGTGACCATCGCAATATCAGCGTTGTCAGCATGTTTCGGGTGTGTGCGTGTCACAAACTGCATTGCTGTACATGTCCACAGATGTCCCCCAAGCTAGGCACATGTTTCTTCGTTGTTTGTGATTGCCTCGATTCGGTGGCGATGATTGTGTGCCCTTAGCATCGGATGTCTCGCTCCCCCTTCCCCCCCTCCCCTCTTGTTTCCAGGAGAACGGAACTGGATGCTCCCCACTGTTGTAGGATGGTAGGACATTTCTGTGGTTACGTTTTTCGTCTTCCAATTTTTCAATTCGCCAATGGTCCAGATGCCGCCTCAGTCAATCAGTCAATGAGGATTAAGACTGTGAAGACCTTTATCATCGAGGATCACAGCGGATGCAGCACCAGCAAGAAAACCAGACGTCATGAGCACCTCGACACAGTGTTTACTGCTGTACTAGCATATGCCATCACTGCCCTACTAGGAGCGATTCCGGTCTTGTTAAAACCTGTCGATCGCAGTGGTATGCTGCCTTGAACAATGGTATTGATGTGATGACACATGCGATAAGGGGAATGCACTGTGTCGATTTGTTATGCTTAGCCTCAAATTGACGCTGGGGGGAGGTGCAGGGCTTTTCGCATCAAGTTGATGCCAAGCATAGCAATATCGACACAGCGCGTTCCTGAACTCTGAGAAGCCCCTTCCACGTGTCATGCGCTCAATGCAAATGTTGTCTGCAGTTCTCCACACCTTGACATTTGCGGCGTTCATAATTGAGTTCTGCTCGCTGCCCTTCGAGAATTGATCTAACAACTTCATCCTGGCACTCCTCTTGTTGTTGTCCCACATATCCCTCACCAGCTCAGCTGTGCTGTGTGCAAGTGCCTGATATTCCACCTGGCGTTGCAAGTGCAGTCAATTGGCCAGCTGCCACAGTCGGGCTAACGCCCCAATCACAGGGTCCAAATTGCGATGGCATATGCATCCAACCCGACTGCAGTGCATAAACGGATGGTGTGAACAGAACTGTTGCTCTGCTGGAATTACGACAGCATCGTTTGCAAAAAAGGGTGTCCAAGAAGGTCGTGCGTGTGCCTTGCAGAGGCAGCAGCTACCCCAAAGTCACTTCGGCTACATTGAGAGGAATGGATGGACCCTTTTAGTGGCCATCTGGAGTTGGCTGCACCCAAGTTCAACAGACGACTGATTACTAACCAACAATCCGATGAATGGTGAGGCAACGGATTGTCGTGGTTTTGGCTCCTTCGCAAATGGCAATGGCTTTGAGTCAGACAACAACAAGGAACACCACATTTGGTACACGACTGGCGTGCGGCCGAGGCAACAACCCGACAAAAACTGCAGGTCTACGTGGTGGGGGCGACGCCCAGCGCCTGTCGAGGTGGGGACTGCCTCCCAAATCCACTCACCCCCACAAGGCACTAAACAGCATTCAACAGTGTTGTGAGTCGCTGCACAGTGCAACCTTCACAGGTAATTGCACATTTGGTATCAGCAGAATGCTGAGCCTGTGCAGCCATGAGACATGAAGCAGCGCACTGGCTTGTCACGCCGCTCCCACCTGAAGGCCAGGAAGGTGCTGCACGTTGAAAAACAGCCTGCTGATCTGCAACTGCGTCAGCCCCAATTCCTGGTGGGACAAATCCCTCATGACCTGCCTCGCGGCCTTGAGGTGCAAGCGCCCGCCCTCCCCTCCATCAGCGGCCGCAAAAGACGCCACCAGGTCGTCTTCCAGCGTGCCCAGGCGCGCCGCGAACTGCAATGCCACGAAGGGGTGTCAGGTGCGACATTCGATGCATTCACTGTCCTCAACAGCGCCCCAGGCCCTTTAGTCAACCCCTTTTCTCCGCTGCGTCAAATCGTGCCCCGTTGTGCACACGTTGCGCGATGGGCTGGACTCTGTTGCCTCGAGGGTTGTCTACCATCGAAGCCTGGGAACAATGCGTCGGCGGGGCGCGAGAACTGGAAGGTGGTTTTTACCCCGCTTGTTGGCACAACTAATTATTATTTAGTTGCTTAATAACCTGGTGCTGCTACGCAGCTGGTTGAAGCACAGCTGTGCATAGCCTCGCACATTCGAGGTCCCAAAAAAAACTGAGGGATTTGCTTGGGGAGTTTTTGTGCGGGTGCAGGCGGCCCAATTCCCCCTGCTCCAGCAAATGCCTCGATGCGAAAACCCGTGGCTTTGGCATGCCACTCATAGTGCGGCTCTTGTCGAGGCCCTCACCTCCTTGGATTCCAGGGCATGCTGGTGTCGCTGTACGAGCGCTCGGCAGCACCGCGACACTTCCTCCTTGTAGGAGATTTGGCCCTCGTCGTCCACCTCGACCAGGCTCAGCAACAGGTTAGCGTCAGCGCGCGTGAGTCCCAGAATCGGGCACAGCAGGCAGCACTTGAAGTCGCTCCGCGGGATCTTTCCCGTACTGGCTGGGTCGCGACCTTGACAACTTTCCCTCAGTTTCTCCTCAACTTGGCTCTCGGCTGTCCCATTAACCAGGCGTCCCTGCTGCGCCGGCCCATTCGTGCCTGATCCGCTGGTGCTCAGTACCTGAACACGAATGGCACGCACATGGGATCCAAGGATGGAAACCCTAATGCACCTGCTTGACTGCATGCTGGCACGCGTGTTGTGCTGCGTATCAAGACTTGGCAGTGCATGTGACATGTAGATTTTCGCATCCTCGTGCCATATCCGCCGCTCTTACTGTTTCGATTAGCATGCACCATGGTGGTTCCGCCTTGGACTCGCGAGCAGCACAGTTTGCTCGCGAAGTTCATTCCCAGCGGTCAGCCCTGTTTGTAGGACAATTAGCAGAGAGTGCGCAACTGCTGGCCAGCAAACAAGAAATCACAAATCAGGAGTTCATGCCTGCAGGGGCGCAGGTGGTCGATCCAGTCCTTGCACCGCAGCGCAGTTGTGACCCGATTGTGTTACATAGAATATTCGCTACCCGGCAAGGCCCAAATGCACTCGCTGGTCAGCTGTATTGATTGAGCGTTGGACCAAAGCCCTCTGTTGCTGGCATGGTGCCAGAACGGACCAAAGAGGCGCCTGTTCTGGACGTCTTACGTTGGGTGATTTGAGGGCCTCCACAATTATGGGAATTGCATCCTGATAGTGCACGATGCCTTTTTCATCTTCGTCTACCTTGGACAATATTTTCCAGCTCTTCCTGGGTAGGCAAATGCAACGAGGCGGGGTCTCTATCAGAGGGTGCAATCCTCAGTGTGTTGAGAATCAATGAAGATTGCACTGATAGACATCACATGAAGGCGCTTGATCGAACGCTCTTCAGAATAATGACTGTGCTTCGTTCATCGGTCATTACTAGAAATGGGTGTGTCCTTGACATGGGCGTCTAGTATATGGAAAGTCTATGGCGTGGATATGGCCACCAGGGGCGGTCAAATACATGAAAGCTGTCACTTCCTCATGGAGCCTGGAACCGCGGTGCTCCACGCGACACAATGGAGCTGTAGATGCGGACGATGCTGTAGGTGCGAAGGGGGACGGTCCGTTGTGGTGCACACTGGACAGCTGCATTCTGGCACACACCCAGTAGGCCGCCACCGCATAGGCAGGTACGTAGTGAAATGATCTGTGGCTTCAACGGAACGCCATTGCAACCCTCGTAAACTGCAGCCAAACAAAACTGATCTTACCTGGGGACAATGCTGAGACGTTGGTCTTTGAGGACGCTGACGAATTGTTGTCGAGTTAAGTCACCAGTTCTGTCTTGGTCTACTTCATGGAAGAGACCTGCAGAATGCGGTGCACAAACGCGAGTCTTACATTCAACGGCAGCGAAATAAATATGCGTTGCGAGTCGCCCAGGCTTTCGGCGATGCCAACGTTTTCCCCTCACCAAGTGAAATTGCAGTGTAATAGTGCTGTCCTCAGAAGCACCTTCTGTGCCCGCAGGGGGGAATTCACTGCGCAGAATACAACAAGGGTACGTTTCGAAAGCACGTTTGCTGTGCTGGACGGCTTCCTCTGCTGGCATAGATATCATTTTGTGGCAAGCACGTGTTGGAGAACGTCGTTCTGCATAGCACTTAGACAGCATGGTCGGCCACCTGATTGCCTTTCTTGAGGTGCATGCTTTGCACTGAT